TTCAAAATTTTTGCCTAATTTAGTCCACAAACTTTAAAAATGTGTGAATTTAGTCTTTTGAACTAAATTTTGTTAGGTTTATTTGATGTTTCAAGTGCATTTCATGATAGTATTTGAGTTGTTTATACCATTTGACACATTTTTGCTTCAATGTTAACTAAGAAATGTGTTTGAAACATCAAATAAAGTTAACAAAATTTGGTTAAAAGGACTAAATTCACACATTTACAAAGTTTAGGGACTAAATTAGTCCAAAATTTTGAAAAGGGACTAATTCTAATTTTCACTAAAAGTTAAGGAATCAAAACATATTTAACCCTTATTTTTATCATCATCCAACACATGTTGGAGTTTAAAAGATGAAAAATCTGTCAAATTTTAATTATTATTAGTTTAATATTTGTTCTTTGTATGATTTTGATCAAGTGATATATTATAATTCTTATTAAGTATAGAAGAAAGAAATTTAATTAGAATTCAAAAAATTGAAGTAAAAAAACATTAATTTTTTAATTTGAATATTCTTTTCCTTTTATATTTTTTTTAAAATATTTTTAAATTTTTTCAACTTAATGTTTCTAAATTTAATAAATGTTGACCAATTCTCATAAAAAAAATATTTAATGTTGAAGAAATGAAAATACACTCCTTTTTATATTACATATTTGATAATATCAGTACCTTTGACATAATTTTTTTATTTATATTACTCGGCAGAGATAAGGATATGACAAAAATTTTATACTAACAAAGATAAAGACGATTTTTTTTCTTTCCAATAATGAATACGAGATAGCGAAACTCATCCCTTGTTGTTTTATCATTCTTAGATGAGACCTTAATATACAAAATTTATATTATTTTTTATTATCTTTTTTCCTAACTTATTTTTAGTTCAAATACTAATTTTTATTTTATTTTTTTTATAATTATGTGACATTTATTTAATCAATATGATATTATGATATAATTATAATTTTTTTAATATTTGAATATTGATGAAAAAAGTATGTATGCTTTTAATATGAAATCAGTTATAATATTATGTTCTCTTTATTATGAATTTAATTTTTTTATAAAAATATTATTTAATTAATATTTTGAACAGTAAAAAAACGTGTATAAAAGATAAAAAAAGATAAAAAGATATTTGTAATCTTCTTTCAAATTACACAACCTATACAATCTATAATTTTATTTCAAGTAAATTTAATTTTGGTTTAGATTGTGTAATCTAAAATTTATATTTTACATATATTATGATAATATATGTTAATTATTGTTATAGTGCTACGGGGGAGTGTGAGAAGAAAATATAGAGTGAGAGAAAGAAAAGCAAATTCTCTTAAAACGCCAATGGCAATAGCGAATATCAAAGTCAAAAGCATTGAGAAAAGAAATTGGGCCACTTGACTAGCCCAACCCAATGTACTATTCCTCATGCATCTTTCAACCAAAAACAGAAACCTCAAAAGAAGTAATTGAAGTCCCAGGTTTATGTTCATTTCTATTTTTATCAGTTCTTTATATAACATTAACCACCTCATGTTTATTAATATAATATTATAAGAAAAAGGTTCTCAGAATAAATCTCCTTAATCTAGACTTAACCAGCCCATATGACAAACCAGAAAGAAAAGAACACAAATATTTCACTTAATATTGGTAACAAAATTCTTTACATATGAATAATACTGGTTTAGTCCAACTAATAATAATTATATACATATTAATCTTTTATGTATATATATTTAACATATTTATAATTTTGTGTTATTATTAATATAATATGTTTTTACACTTGAGACATATATAAAAAGTAAAATAAAAAATGAATGTGAAGAAGTTGCAAAGACAGGTTAAAGAAAGAGAAGAATCGATATATTCCCTTATGTTGGAGGGATAGTGTTACCTAGAATGAGCTTGTACCCTAAGACACATGTAGTTGTTAAGGGCTCCCAAGGGAATCATTTGCCCTCTTGTGGGAGAAGTTTCTATTGTTTATGAAAGAATGAAAAGTCATGTGGTAAGAAGAGATGACACAAAGGCAACAATTAATGAGGCTCATCAAATAAATATTCCCTTCATTCTTTCAGTCTCTCTTCAAAATCCTTAAAGCATGTTTAGTCTTATTTCATACCCAATTATCAACACCAAGAATCTCACTTTCCTGCCATTCCTCACATGGAACATTTTCTTTCCATCCACACTTTTCAAACTTCCTCTAACCAAAAATATCACCAAAATATGAACCATAAGTAGATACCATGTTTTCTGTCTTTAGTAATAATCACCATTGCCACATTTCCTAATAACCTCAATTTCACAATAATTTAGGTGGAAACATTCCTCATATTATATACCCTTTAAACTATAACCTACTAAATAAAGAAAATGTACTTAATATCACATTAAATATTAATAAAGAATTAAGTAATAAGAAAAACAAAATCTATAACCATTAATTTTTAAAACTTTATGTTGGAACTTGTCTCCAAGTGTCTTATATATAGATAATTCGTCGTCAATCTTCTTAATATATTATAGTGAGAATCTAAATATGAAAAAAAGAAATTATAAACATCATAGTTTTTAAGAATTTGTGTTAGAAGTAGTCTTTGACGATCAATCTCTCCAATATATTAATTAAGTAAAAAGAAATCAGAAGAAGTTGAAGGCTATTTATGAGTAATTAATTACGGATTTTACTTTGGATTAATTTGAGTGAAGCTTTGATTATCCTGTGCAGGCATCCCTCTTAATATCTTGAATTCAGGACCATTGATATGTGAATAGGACAAAGTCAGAGTTGTTAAGTACAGTGACAGAACTGACAAGTTAGAAACTTGAAATCAACAACAAAGAAAATTAAGCAGAAGTGAATAAGAATAGATGATTAATGCTAAGTAACTAGAAACTTGATTTTATGGAAATGGTAGTAAGTTATGTGAGTTACATGAAACAAAAATTTATGGTGAAAATGATTATGTTTATGGTGTAAAGTTAAGTAGGGAAAATCGATTTGAAAAGACACGAAGCGTGTTTTGAGGAAGAATGCCATGATGTATGGCATCTTTTTGACAAAATGATGTGGGTTGATTTATTATTCTACGATTTTTTAGGCTGTTTGTACATTTTTGTGGCAACTATTTCAAGAAATTATACAAAAGAGCTGTACTTTTCTGTCTCACCCTAAACTTTGCTTCCATCTCTTTCGGATTTTACTAAAAAAGATAAATTATATATTTTCTTTTAGTCTCGCCTTTATTTTTTTTTTTAATTTTCTTTTCCATTTTTTTCTTTTAATTTACTTCTTTCTTTTCTTGGTCACATTTTGGTTGTAGTGGAAGAAAGATATTCTTAACACCCAAAGTAGAAGAATCTGAAAAACTCAAGATATTAGCATAAATATAAACAAGTTGGATACGATTTATTGCAATTGGAAGAACATGTAAGTCAAGATATCAAAATACATTCCTCCTAGTTGGTTTGCTTAAGATATTTAACAAAAGTAGATAGAATAACTAATATAAAAAATAGGTTTAATGTTACTCTTCTTGGTCTTTATGTTTATTGTAATGATTTAATATCTTTCCTCTATTTTTTTTAACTCAATTATCCTTTTATTTTTTTTCAAAGAGATTAAATATTGTCCTTTCTATTAAATTAGACTTTTTTCTTGTTATCCACCACTTTTTAATTTTATTAACGATAATAGATCATAAAAAAAATATTCTAAACCAGACAATTTACTATTTTTTTATAATTTTACAGCTTCTTTGCTACTGGAATTATATTTTTTTTTTCTGAAATTCTGTGTTTTGATAAACGAATTATTAGCAATAAAAGAAAAAAAAGGGAGTTTAACATAGATATAATAAAATAAAAAACATTAAATTATTATTATATAAAATAAAAGAATGCTATTAAATCAATAAAATTATCTTATTATTAGATATGTTTTTAATACGAAATTGAGTATCTTTTTATTTAATTAAATTCGAAACAATATTATAAACTGTTTTGAATGTAAGATTGAGAATTTTCACAAAATACTCATTCATACTTTTTTTTCAAGATAGTTTAAGTTATCGTGTACATATTAAAATGTTTTTTTTCAAGCTTCAAAGTTTTCAACAATCACTTTGACACTCAAATTAATGATTAATCTAACTAGAATGACAGTAAATTTTAAAATTTACAATAATTGAAATCACCTAATTTTCAAAATACTACACGCATTTTAAACTAAAATCAAAGAGATCATTATGGACCATTTAGGGACCATTTTGTTTTTATTTTTAATTAAAAATGTAAAAACTAATAATATTTTTTTATTTTAAATTATATGGGGAGAAAGTAGTAAAAATACACTTTTATTTACTCATATGCAGTTTTTAAAAAGGAAAGAACAACGTAATGAATTTATAATTAAAAGTAAAGAAAACAAAAATAATGGACCACAATTAAATATGCACATGAAAATCAATAACAAGTACAACCAATTGAATTTTATGAAATATATCAAATATAAATCTTCTAGTATTAAAAGCTTTTTGATTTTCTAAAATTGTTCAACTAGATTCAATAAGTTTCTTTTATTGTTTTTATATAAAACAAATCATAGAAACAATCCAAATTGAAGATGGACAAAAAATAATACTTAAGTTGCATACTTTCAAAATTTTAAATAATACAACTCATGCCTTTAAATTCAATACTAGTTCATTCAAGGTTTAATTGCTTGGTTTATCCTAAGTTTGGAAGTGTGTCAAACTAGTCCTCTCTTTTAAAAAAGTTACTATTTCGTTCACACGTGATTTAAAAGTGTCAATTGTATTCAATAATAGAAAAATCTATGTCAATAAAGTCCTCTCCGTTAAATACAGACTAATAGTGTTAAGTGACTGATAATTTGGCAGTTGAGAATTAAAACTTGTCAAAAAATGGAAATATTGGTAATGACGTGTGAATGAAATTAAAATTAGGAAGTATTTAAAATCTATACATCAACAAGGCCCTGAAAGCTAAGTAAACTCTCCAAATATAACATGCAGCCAATTCCAGATTCGTCAAATTGCCAAAGAACAAGAGACAATTCAAACACTTCAATGGAAAATACAGTTCCTGATATGGCTCCAACAGCAGCCCCTCGAATGAAGCCACTCTCAGTTTCTTGTCCTATCAAAGCTCCAGTCAAGGCCCCCAACGAAGTTCCCACTGTAGATAAAACAATCCATCAAAACTCGTTGTACGTTAAGCATAGCACATGGTGCCAATATGATTGGAAAAACATTAACCACAACACAAATTTGTATGTCTTTGAAGATGAAAATAACAAAACAAAACAACACAAGCAAAACAATCCAACCAAGAAATGGCGCACCTCCACCCCATGTTTCAAGTTTCAATTTTTATAAAAAAAAATACGCATTTCTGTCTCAATTGAAAGCCCCCAACAACACACAACAGAAGACAATGACAACAATCCACCCAAAAAGATTAAAAACACAACAAGAAAAGGCAAAACCCATGACGAAAGGAGGAAAACAGAAGCAGATTAAGAGTTTGGATTAGATTATAAAATGTAACAAAAGGAGAATGGAAATAAACAAAAGAGAAAGAAGAAGCGAACCTAATGCAAAGCAGAAGGTAAAGATCGCAGAGAAGATGTTCCCAATGACGGCGGAGACGGCGAGGGTACCAAGCTGCTTAACCCTTTCGACGAGATTCCCGAGCGAAGACGAACGCAAAAGAAAGGGATTTGGCACAATAGAACCCACTTCACACTTCGAATGGACCTTCGAATAGAACCACTTCGCACTTCCAAATACCCTACGAACAATGCGAAAAGCACTTCCAAATCACCAAACGCGCATATGCTTTTGAAAGCTCCAATTGCAATTTTTCACTCATCGTCAACTCACAAACACATTATCTCAAATGCCCTAATTTGATTTCAATCATAAGAAAACCCGTAATTTTATTTCGTTCACAAATAAAAACCCCTAAATCAATTAACATTTTAATTTCCCCAATTCAATAACCTATTTCCATGTCACTCTACATTTCATTCACACGTCATTACCAATATTACCACTCTTTTGACATGTTTTAATTCTCAACTGCCAAATCATCAGTCACTTCACACTATTATTTTGTATTTAACAGAGAGAACTTTATTGACACAAACTAAAAGCAACTTTAAATCACATGTGGATACCATTAACACTTTTAAACCACATGTGGATGAAATAACAACTTTTTTAAAAGAGAAGACGAGCTTGACACACTTCAACCAAATTGGGAACAAACTAAGCAATTAAACCTTCATTCAATATAATATAACAATGGTATGAAAATTTACAAAAGCCAATAAAACAAGAATATATAATATATATAAATAAAGTTAACAATGAATTATATATATATATATATATATATATATATATATATATAACAGTGACGCAATGATGCATTGTTATGGCAAATTCTCACGGGCTCTAATGTGGGTTTAGACAACTTTTGTTTTTGGTGATTTTGATTGTGATGTGCATATGAATTTGAGTGTTGCCTCCACTTTATATATATATATATATATATATATTGTTTTCTCATTCAAAGATGTTATAAGGTTTTGGATAGCAATGGAACAAAAGCAAAATATCAATAAATCTCAATTATGCAAAATATAGTGCACCGAATGTTCACATTTAATAATTATTTATAGTAAATCTACTTCTCTTCTCCTTACCAATTAAGTTCAGAGAATACTCATAATGGTTATATTAATGTAAAATTTGATTGCCATGTAACTAATTCAAATTAAGATCTATGTTAAAAAATTTACTATCAAATAGAAAAGAATGTTGATTAAAAAAATAATTGCAGAACTTAAAGATGGTAAACAATCTACGTCAGAGAAGTTACTTTTGAGAGCACTTTTTGCATGCATGTGGCCACTTCCATGATAAAGTAGCATTATCTTGAACACTAGGCTACAAATCACAACATCAAATTGGGTTGGTCCACTCATATCTACTTCTGAAACAAAACACCATACTAAATATCAAATCAACTATCCAACACATTTTTAATGTAGATAATTCTATGATGTTAAAAGCAGATCAGATTCACAGGAAACAGATAATTCTATGATCTAGATTGCTATTTTTAACTCTTTTACTCCATTTCACATATTTCATTTCCCTTCCTAATCTATTAAATCTAACTAATCAAAACCTATATGGGTTAACTCGTCAATCTCACTTGCTGTCACTTTTCTTAAATTAAAATAAAGTTAATTTTAAAAAAATAATATTTAAATGTAAATATGTAATAATACATTATAAATTTAATTATTAATACTTATAAATTAAAAAATTAATGATATTTTTTATTTCTAAACTTTCACTCGAAATTTAAATTTGATTTTATTCAAAACTTTAATAAATCCTAATTTTAAACTTAAAAAATAAATGGATATATTTTTTACATTACACAGGCTCTAAATTTTAATTACATATATAGGCATTGACTTTGAAAAAAAAATAAGATATGAGAATATTTGTGTACTCTGATACTTAAAATTGAATAACAAGAATTATGTTTTATAAACCTAGTTCTATATTTAATTATTCAATAGAGAAATAATAATAAATGTTCTTTTTAAATCTTAAGAATTAAAATATTCAACTTATAGATTCTCAAATACTAATTTGCCACACCATTATAAAAAGTACTTTCAAATATTTTATTTTCTATAAAACAATTAAAATTATGAAAATTCAGCTAAAATGTTCTTAATATTTTAATAAGTTTTTTTTTCATTAGAAACATATTTTCCATATAAATATCTTTAATAACTTTGAAAACGAAGTTATATAACCAATAGAGGAACCTCATTATATATTTATAGATTATTTCTTACTCCATTTTTGTGTAAATGGGATAGTGATGTGGATGGAATTTCAGACTACAGTCTCTTTGATGTGTTTCTAAGAAATAGTATATATTAGATTCTAAACTTTCCAATTTTTAGGGATTAGGTAGCTCAGTGACGGATTGATATTTTCTCTTGTATTTCTCCTCTTTCATTAATGTTAGACATATTTTAATTCAATTTTAGATGTTTTGTGTGTGCCTATAACTTGATTGTTTTAATTTAGTGGTGTATTATATTGAAGGTATATTAACATAGTCCAACATTTTTTTTGAAACTTTTAAAACATTGTGTATATCGTATAATAATGTTATGATTTTTTTTTCAAAAGGGTTGTGCAGTTTGAATTTTGGTAGATTTATATCATCAGATGTAACAAAAAAAAAAGTATACAATAATTTTAAATAATAAATTTTGGATAAAAAAATGTAAAAATTTAAAAGTCCTTTATGAACTATCATCTTTTTACTCATTGCTAAAAGTTAAGGTATTTGTTATCGCACTACAAGAATAATTGATATTACCGACGATCCTAATTCATCGGTAATGTATTAAATTCGTCAGTAATTTTCGTTTACGACGGTCAAAATACCGTCGGTAAAACCGTAACTTTTACCAACGAATATTTTAGTCGTCGGTAATTACCGAAGGCTTTTGACCTTCGATAAAGCCGTCGGTAATTACCAAAGGCTTCTGGCCTTCGGTAAATCCGTCGGTAATTACCGCGATCTGGTTCTTCTTCTTCTTCTTTCTTCCTCCCTGTGTGTCATTTTTTTTTTCGTTTTTATGAACTCCACCACCAAAAAAGCATCATGGCAGTAACAAACTAATTTCCAAAGAATCAAACAACCAATTTATTTTCAATAGTTAAAATCATAGGAAATCATGGAGAGTTTCTCTGTAATTCTCAGATTTGTAAGAGAAATGTTCCTAATCGCAAAAATCAACTTTGCAATGGATCACCGGAAAAGTTGAGCTTGTCGGAAAGGCTGAAAAGTGGACAGTGGTGGATTGCAACAGAGCAGCGGTGGTGGAAAGCAGCGGTGGTGGAGAGCAGCAGCAGCGGTGGTAGAGAGCAGCGATAGGAAGAAGTATTACACTAAAATGGAGAGAAATGAGAAGGAGAAATGAGTGTTTGCCACATATATTGGCACTGGATGCGAAACTAGGGCCGAAAATTTTTTGTTTTTTTACCGACAGTCAGATGCCTTCGGTAAATCTGTCGATAATGTCGTCAAGCGAAATAATGGGCGGGAAAATTCCCGCTCTTTTTATCAACGGCCAAAAGCCTTTGGTAAATCCGTCGGTAGTGTGCATACCACTTACTGACGACCAAAAGTCTTCGATAAATCCGTCGGTAATGTGCATGTCACTTACCGATAACCTTACCGAAGATTTTTGACCGTGGATAAAAAAGATAAAAAAACCGTCGGTAATTTTGTCGAAAATTAAAATATATCAATGGATATTTATCCGTCGATAAAATATAATAAATTTTAGACAAAGAAAAATAAAACTTTACCAGTTCTCTTATTTTAAGTCTTTATATACTAATATTTTCTATTTTTATTTAAAATTATGATTTTTGTTGTCTAATTAGATTGAATATGATAATTTGTCTATGATTATCTAGTAATTTCTATATAATAAGCAGATAAACAATAAAAGTCATGTATGATAAGCATAAGTCTGACTATCGAAAAAGAATCCCAATGATTCGGATCAAATTCTTACACATCTATTAAAAAATTACATAAAACCCATTGGAATTAGTATACTCTCTTAATTAATCCCCTAGCTTAGTTATTTCCTCTTTTAATTTTATTTTATAATTGTTACTCAATTTTCTTATAGGACAGAGATATATTAATGAAACATGAGTAGAAAAGAGTACTTCAACCCTAATACTCGATCTAAGTTAATCTTTGCTTGATTATTTATACGGAAACAATATTTTTTATGTTATATATTTGATATTGTTTACATATTAAGTATCAAACTTTTATATTAATATTTAATTTCATACTTAAAATGTATATATTAAAGATATGTTAGATATATGAAATTGATTAAAAAATAAAATAAATTCACAGTAAACATAAATCTTAATTTATAAGCTAGTTGTATTTATAATTGTATGAGATTGAATTAGACTTAAACTTTAAATGTTTTTTATTAAAACAAATATGACCTATTTATCTTTGCGATAGGATTATTTTAGGACATAGTCATTGGTAACGTCTTATCGAAATGGTATAAGGCACGTTACGGACAAAAGGAACAAGAAAATGCTCTTTAGATTCTGTATAATTTTTACAAAGATCATACCTAAGGTCACAATCATGGGAAGAAACTCTTAAATTTTATTTTGAAGGTATTTTATTTATAATTAGGTACAAAACAAAGACCTAATTTTCGTGTCTATGAATGATATTGCATATGATGCTTCACAGAATACTTCCATGAAGTATATCCATCTTCCAATGCCTACAAGCTAGTTGGCCCTTCCACTATATCTACATTAACTATTTCCTTCTCTAATCTTTCAACCATTCAAATAACTTTCTGATATTTCAATCCACTACAATCGTTGCTCCTTCCCCACCAAGATAAGGAAGAATTTAAGAATGTTTTTGTTTTAAATTATTTTCCCCAAAAATCTTTCTTTCATTCTTGTTTCCTTAATTGTTTTCTTAGTGACAAACCTTTATTCCTCAAAGAAGTATTTTGAGTTTTGCGTCCCTCAATTATGTTGACCACTTTTTGAAAAAAATTGTTGTTCCTCTCCTTATGGCCTCCATTTCACATACTTTGCTACTAAATTCCTATTCCATATAAAAAGTTCCTTTTCAACCAGTACCCTCAGTAGAGTTAAATTCAAAAGTTATAACACTTTCACACCCTCGCCTACCCCTATATGCTTTTCAATTGGAAAAAAAATATATATTATCAATTTTAGAAAAATCAGAGAAAATAATGAATTACGCTAAAGTAAAAAAGAATATAAGAATAAAACATCATATTATTTTGTTTGAGTAAAGAGATTCGACATCTGACAGTCCAGTTGTCGAGATAACATCTCTTATTGAAGGGGGAAAAATGCATTATTCCAGAATCAAAGCTTCAGCGTGTTCGCATCACACCTACAAAATCGCACTATTCTAATCAGAAGACAAAAATATTAGAATAATATAAACTAAAAGCTTACCTATTAAGCAGTCCCATGTAAGTTGTAAAAATGGTATATAATTGTTTGGAATTCAAGTATTAATCTATGTTCCTTAATAAATGAAAATAAGAAAGTTGAACATCATAAAATAAATTCATAAAATAAATTCATAAAATCAATGCATAATATCATCAAATTCATATATTAGGTCATCCCAAATGGATAAATTCTTTGAGATTAATATATGTATCGTTTTAATACAAGTTTGGTTTAGGTCTTGAAACAATAAAATCATATATCACTGTTGATATGTACCTCAACAGATGCTAGCCTTTACAAATTATTAGTTTCTAAAAAACCTATTACTGCAGTATAAATTAATACAATATATAAAATCCTAACATGACTAGTATTCTGTAGTTAGGCTTATTGAATAATATTTATTCTCTTACAAGTGTTTCCAAAATATAATAATTTGTAAGTGGATATACTAAACATAAATTCCTCTCATATAGACACTTATGTTGAATAATATTACAAACATATATACTCCGAATAAATTAGGCTAACGAAAACTATACCAAAATATTGTAAACTGTTATTGTTATTCTTTTTTGTTAATCATAATTTTTAATGACCTACAATGTTGGGCTTCCTTATTTAATATGCTTTTAATTTTAAGAAAATTAGCCTAACTATTTAATTATTATGTTTGACTTCACCTATGCTTGATGTGAGTAAGGAGAAAGCCGCTTAATCAGAAAATATTATTTACAAACAATTCCAAAATAAATCATAAGAGAACGGAAAGAAAAAGTAAATAAGGATAGGAGTGAATTAGAGAAAAGAAACATTTCCGATGACATGGTGTAGAATTATATTGATTAAATTTGAGTATTTTCATACATATGATTTTTTAATACCACTATTAGTAATAAGATATTTAAATTTTTTTGATTACACAATAAGATATAGAATAAAAAGGTTTTTACAACATTAAATAGTGCCCTAATTTCATACAAGTATAAAGTTTTCTACCCCTTTATCCGAATGGTTTAATGAACTACTGCAGCTTACTCGTCCAGTTTCTGTTCATCAGCTTCTGCTAGAATAGTTCAATAAAATAGTTGGAGTTAATACAAATAAGGTCCTTGTATAACTAGAATAAAGTTAATTTTGTATATGCCTTAAAATTAATATAAAAAAATAAAAAATTTATGGATGTATGCAGTTAGCAAACATTCCTGTTTTAAACACGCCTTGGATGTTTCAAATATGGTGTCTGAAATGAAACTGTATAAACAAGACCTGACCAAGGTAGTGGTGGAAACGCAGTGTACGTACACAGAGGAAGTTATTTGAGTGAAAAGAAAAGTAGAGAAAATGCAAAACACTAGTTCAGGTTGAAATTAGAAATCAGCGGAAACCTGAAGAATTAAGTGAGGAAAAATGAAAATCCCACGTGTAAGAAGTTCACAGGAAAAAACATGAATAGGTACAGTAAAATGTCTATTCACTTTTCTGTTGAGAAAAAAAGAAAAAGATGTCAATTCACTTTGCAAAATAGTACAGCGCAATAGAAAATCCGAGACACAAAAATGGAGAAAAGCCAATTTACAATCCTTGCTATTTCCACGGTCCTTCGACGTCATTATTATTGTTACTAAGCTTTGTTGACTTACTGTGTAATTAACACTCAGAATTATGTGATTTAGACTTGAAACCCGTGGAGGGTCAGAAATCAGAATAGACATATTGAAAAAAAAAAGTGGTAAGAAAACAAGCATTTGTCAGACTATCTATGTATGTAACTAACTAACTATCTTATCTATCTTTCAGATGCATAGATTTGAATGACAAATTCTAAACATGTCTCTGATCGATGTAAGCTTTCTCATACTTACATGAGTAGTAGTAAGTAACTACCATTGTGTTGTAATAAGAGCTGAGAGAGAGAGAGGAGATAATGTTATGTCTCATAATATGATAATATGATAATAAATATCATCTCGTGTTAAAGATAGGAAGCATTAATATCTCGCCCCCCTCGTCCGCTACAGAAAGGCAGAGAGGTTAGAGAGAATGGGTCACTCCCACCCACTCATTTTCTCAATCATAACACATCCATCCCCACACACCTTCTTTCCCCACTCTCTGCTTCTCTGTCTTTCACAAACGCGCACATAAAAACACACACCAAATATTTTTTCACACTTCCCATAATCCATCTTTTCTTCATTATTCTAAACTGTCACTAATCCCACTCCACTTCACTGGTTTTTCCCGACCAGAATAGTCCCATCTTAACCATTCACATTTTTCTACACTTTCTCTCTCTCTCTTTCTCTCTCTATCCGCATTAAAAAAACAATAATAACAAAGTTTCTTTTCTTTATTTAACCTTTATGATTCTCTGTCTTATATTCTTCTGGGTCTTCTGTAAATCCTTGATCTAGCTTGTTCGCTTTGTTTCAGTCAAGGAATTCTCCTCTTTGATCTGCCTATAAATCTACTAAGCAAACACCAAGGACAGTCACAATTTCTTTTTTAAAAAAATGTCAATGGACATGATGGCAACCGAACGTGTTTGTTATGTTCACTGCAACTTCTGCAACACCACTCTAGCGGTACAGTTCTGAATTCTTTCTTCTCTCCTCTTTCTATCTATCTTTCTATCTCTTGTTCTCTTTCTTTCTTTCTCTTTTTTCCCTGAATTCTTTTAAGCTTGTTTCTTGTTATTATACCATGTGTTTCACCAGCTAATAATTTGTCAATACGAGTTTTGTTTATCTCTTGAATCGAGATCAAGAAACCAAAGAATTCAAGAACGGTCACTTCCCCAAGGACTTGAAATCCATCGTTGAAGTGAATTTTTCTACTGGAATGTACTTTAGATCAACGATTAATTGTCTCTCGTCTTATATTTTATGGGAAACCGTGACTGGGTTTTTCTTTATAACCTCTATTTATGCTAAAAAGTTCGGCTGTGGTGTTAATTTGGTTAGAGGTCAGCACTCTCGTGAGTAATGGCAGAAGACAATTGTTAAGCTCGAAAGCCAGAAACTTTCAATAATTTTAAGCAAGCATACTGATTTCGAAAGGTAAAAGACGATTCGTGAGCCTGAGTGAGATGTTTTACAAACAAAACGCACACACCCATAAGAAATTTGAGGGCTGTGAAAAGGTAGGGCTACTCCCAGGTATTAGGGTTCTTGTAATATACGGAGCCCTTTCCCCTCTTTTTGTTCGTTTCATTTAATTTTTCGTGAGGATATATATAGCATCGTATGATCTCACATGCTATATATGTTATGTTGTGTAAAAAGTCAACCGTTGTCTTAATTTATCAGTTCTTTTTATTTCTTGTTTTCTCTGGGAAGTACTGATAAACAGCTCATAAAATGAAATCTATACAAATCTGTGTGGTGATTTGTCTTTCCTCAGTCTACTTGGATTGATTCCTTTTCACTGAGGAGTGATGAGGTTGAAGGTGGTGTATTCTGTTCATCATGATTTGCCAGTGAAGCGTCATTTTTTGATGATCAAGGTTTTTTCACAATTTCAGACTTGTTGCTACCTTTTAAGTACTGAGACAGTGTCCTCTCTTTCTTTCTACAAGAACTTGTGGCGATTATGACGTCCAGACAAATCCATTTACGCACCAGAAAATGCCATGCTCTCTCTCTCTCTCACTCTCTTTATTTTCCTTTACCTTTCTTTCCTTTCATCATAATATCTCTGTTGAGTTACTCCTTTTGAGAAAGCATTATCTTTCTTTCTTTCTCTCCTCCGATCTTGACACTGCACAAGGAGCAGTAAATTTAATCTGCTTCATGATGGTGATCACTTTTCTTTAGTCATATCTGTTTGGTAGCAGTAGTGGTTAACGGTGTTTGTGTTTTAATTTCATTTTCATGGTTTCCGTTCCAGTCATGTCATTTTCATCTTTCTCTTTCTCTTTCTCTCTTTCCTCCTCGATCACTATGAGCTACAATGTCTATCTTTTTTCATCTTACCTTGCAGTGTCAGCCAAAAAGTGAATGGAGACATTGTGAGAGTGCTAACTTTTAAATTTGCCATGTCAGTTCCTCAGCTTCCTGCTAACATGTAGTATTCAATATGCTAGCTGCGCTCGCTTGCTCTCTCTCATAATGAAAGAGAAAGAAAACATTACTTCTCTCTCTTTCTCTCTCTCAACCTCACCAACCAATTTGTTTTCTTATTGCAATGCTGGTGCTTGGAACCACCTTTCCATTGAATGTGATAGCTTCAATTCTCTAACATATATATAAATACTTTAACATCGACAAGTGTGAAGCTCTGATATTAATTCGGTTATGGCGATGGTCCAAACAATTATGTACGAAACAATTTAAAACATTGAGAATTCCAATTCATCTGATTTACCCTTTTTCATTTCCCTTGTGTTTGTATATGAGAGACGCATTAAGATTACATATTCAGCTTACTTAGTTTCTAGGGAATGCCCAGTGAAATTGAAAGTGATGATATTTGTTTGCTTTTCCATCCGAAAATGGGTTTTGGCAGGTCAGTGTTCCATGCAGCAGTATGCTCACCATTGTTACGGTTAGATGTGGACACTGTGCCAATCTGCTATCAGTTAACATGGGAGCATCACTTCAACCTTTTCCTTCTCAAGAAACTCAGGTATAATTTCAAACCCTCCTGCATCTTTCATTATCATTTCAATCTTCTTCATTTTGCACTCTTATTGCTGAGTAACTTCTGGACTTCATACTTTTGTTTGTGTGTGTGTGTGTGTTTCGCTTAGCATCTTTCTACCGTTGCTAAGTTACAGAGACAGCACCTGAGCGTTCAAGAAGCATGCAGCAAGGAACTGGGATCATCTTCAAAATGCAAATCATTTGAGTCCGTAGACCATGAGCAACCTAGGATTCCTCCAATTCGTCGTGAGTCACGCTCGTTAATTCTTGTTTAGTTTTTGGCATACATATAACTACAAGTTAATTTGAATGAAGAACACGGATCCTATAGCCATAGGCCAGCCTGAACTTTTCCGTTATACTCTGAGAAGGTATGAGAACACAATGATTCAAACTACGTTATTCCACGACTGGCACATGTTAATTAATGAAACCAAGCAGAACAATATGTGCCATCATTGAGGCCACATTGTTAAACTCAGTTTTTTCATGAGAGTGGGCGTCCATCTTTCTGAGTATCAAGTTTTTTGTGGTACAAAGATACCCAATTTGGCCTATATTTTCTTCATCTCTATTTAAGTGTCCCCAACCAGATGGTGACCTTTCGCAACAAATTGACCCATCCTTAATTGAATGCAATCATGTTGTGCCCTAGCTACATACTACACGTACTACTATGAAAATTCATTCTCCATCTTACAGTAAATACTTCTTTCTAGTGATGTTTATTATAATCACTTAATTAATCAACCAGGTATGTGACTTAATACAAATTTAACACACACACACACACCTATTGATTTGATTAATCATAATTAAACTGAGCCTTGGTAACAATTTTTACCTCGTCCTACGTACCTGATGATGATATAATTGATATTGATAGTGGTACTTCAGTAAGAAACTTTTTGGAGAATTGAATTTGCCACTGCGCCAGTTTGTCCAACTATGGGGCCAGCTCTTGTTAAAAGTTACCAGATTTTGGTTCTTAGAATATCTCATTTAGTGTTAACTATAATATTTAATTGCTAATCTGTGGTGAATATGTATTTAATTACAGTCTATGCAATTTTTTTGAGTATGATAAACTAAATTAATTCATTATCAATACAGCTCCAGAGAAGAGACAGCGTGTTCCTTCGGCTTATAACCGGTTCATTAAGTAAGTGATCTATCAATTACAATGAACTATTCCTTACATTTCACATCTTCTCTTGTATCTATACTTATATTTCGTATATAGAAATTGGTTAATGTTTAAAATTAAAAGAAAAATAGTTGAATGGAAATGAGAATGACGATTCATTATTCAAATGATTGGTTAGTGATGGACATTTGGACGAAATCACATAAATACATACATTTGTGAATAAATTACATATAGTATTATGAAGAGTTATATACACATGTAAATTCTTATGACTAATAAAATTTTAGAGAATGTTTTTACATAACGATAATAAAAAAAACTTGGACCCTAATAACCAGAACAACATGAATGATATAGCCGGTTTTAAAACACTGTCACTGTGCAATATCTGACATATATTTCTATCTTTTTCCTTTTCATTTATCTTTAAAGATACCCTACAAATAAATAAAAAAAAGTGGTATATATATTAAATTATTCTTTTAAACTTCTTAATATTCACTATTTTTTTTTCCTTTATGATAAACATGTAAGATATTGGGAATCAGGTAAAACTAAGTGCATCTTTTAAAGTAATAATTTTTTTTATCAACTTTTTAAAACAAAGGTACGAAAATTTCTTAAAAATGGAAATATAAAGAAACTGAAGGGAGAAACTTCATTTTTTAAAAAAATGTTATGGTTTAACAATCAGTGCATGCCATTGTTTTATAGCTCAAGAAAAATGAAAAAAAAATACTATGCATGTAGGGAAAGAGAAATTTAACAAGTTATACTTTTAAATTTGTTAAACTATCTTTTTTTCTTTTAAAAAAAAGTTGAAATTGTATTAATACATCATATATCCTATTATTTTCTTAAAAAAATATTTATATAGGAAATTATAACTTGAATTTGTTAAATTACTTAAAGTTATATATAATCAGCTATATAACATTTTTTTTCAAAATATTTACAATCACATCATATAAACCACAATATTTACATATATGTGTGCATTAGATATGTACTAGTGATGGTTTTCATAACATTGTGGTTGTTCCCTTGAATACAAGTGCAATATATATGTAGATATATAAATAACTCTTATTGCAGAGAGGAAATACAAAGAATTAAGGCCAGTAATCCAGATATCAGCCACAGAGAAGCTTTTAGCACGGCTGCAAAAAACGTGAGTTTGAGCTTTATCACTATTTTCCTTTTCTATTTTTGCATATGCATTCTGGTATATGAATGCACGCAAGTTTTGTTTCTGTTCTTTCCCTCTCACATGTGATGATTGCACAATAAAAAATGAGTTTGTCGTTTACGTTAACATGGTGAAGATTGAAACCCAATGCCCTCTCAATTATTGTAGAAACATTACCAATAAAGCCAATGCCTTCTTTCTCTTTGTGGCTATTGCTTTGTATCAAACTTTTCTGTAGTAATGGCATATGATCATGTCCTTCCACTGCTTCATACAACGAGGGTTGCTCTTGTTTAAACAATTAATACACTGATAAATTCGAACATGCATGTAGAGCTCAGAAAATAGTTTGTTGAGAAAGACCAAATGACAAATAAAGAAACTGTTGCTACATAAATAAAGATCATAAATGAAATTCTATGGTTAGAATTATGCAGAATCTCGTGCACCAGTCGTTTAATAACATAATTTCAGTGTAACTTGTCAGTGTGTGATTTCTGCATATAGTCAGAATAAATTAAATATTAATTCTTAGAGTTCACTAGTTAGTTGAAGTAAACGAGTTTAAGTTAATTTTGTTACCAGTTTAGTTGAAGTAAACATTAGTTCTAATTAATCAGATTAGTTTGACTGTCATCATATTGACTTATTTCTAACCTTATCTACAAAGATAAGTTGTTCCTAAATAACAGTACAGATGTTAATACAATCTCTTTACATCATCAATATGTTCAGTTCACAAAACTTACTTATTTTAATATAAGTTCAGTGTTTTCAAGAATGATAAAGTGATAGATGAAAAAAATGGTAAGTGAGAATAGCTGAAACATGAGAACCAATGTATGATGATGTTTTTTTTTTCCTGTCCCTTTTGAAGACTCTCGATTCTTCACTCTCTCTGCCTTTTCCTTCTGTTTCACTGACATGTCTTGTATCCTGGACTTTCCTAATTCAAGTCTACAGTATAGATGTAGATATATAGTATATAACATAAAAAGATTGTCAAAAAACCCTTTATCCTTCTAAAACTGGTAGCGTTTTTTAATACCATTTGATAACTGAGAAATAGAATGGGGGCAAGTGATCTGAGATGAGAGGTTGATATCTGTGAGAAGTTTTAGCTGTTGAGAAGACATTATTGCAGGAAAAATGCTGCAAAAAAATGTCATGTAGGACAAATATTTGGTTATGGAAAAATTATCTTTCCCCAAAAAAATATAAATAAAATGGCTTGGCCAAGTCTATCAGAAAGAAGCATATGATGATATTATTTTATGCAGGTATCTTTAACCTGACTTTGTTGAAAGTTTTTTATTTTCAATATGTGTAAAAATAAGTTTTACAAAGAAAAGGGCACAAGAATATGAATGTAAATATATATATATATATATATATATATATATATATATATATATATATATATATATATATATATATATATATATATATATATATATATATATTTATATTTATATATATATATATATAT